CACCTACACACATGTGGCATACACATTAATCAAAACAAGTCTTAATGTTTTGGTTTGAAATTTTTTGGAATATTAGCATATACGTGATGATATTTCCTTCAGCTAGAATCCAGCCTAGTTCAACATGTATTTACCTTTCATATATGCCCTATATATACAACAGGGGAGGGTAATTTTATGCAGAATTTTAATAATTTTATATATGAATCAAGTTTGTATTGAACCATGAGAATCATGTGAGTGCTCAAAAAATTTAGATTTTTCAGAACTTCGGAGTTTTTCAGATCTGGAACAGGCAGCCCATCCTTATCACCACACAGCATTTCTTAACAGTGAGAGAGACATGATTCTTTGAATTCATCCCCTATGTTGAATAGTGAGGTTTTCCCCCCACAGGTTTTTCTCATAATTGACCATTGAAAACATGCAAAATACTTTGTATGCTTATTTCAGTGTGTGGTGAACCCACAAGATAGGAATCTGGTGAAAGGTCCATTATGGCCGCACCATCATGTGATGTAGAGGCATAGATCTAGTACCACTTCCCGTTTTAAATTCCTGTTTTAGAGAACCTGCCAGATTACAGGAGAAATCCTACCCAGATTGTTAAAACTCAATGACTAAATTATATATGAACATGACAGTGTCAGACTCTTAATGTATGGGCTCACCCTCCTTCCTATGAGGACGGTGTATCTTTGTGTTTTCTCCCCATGAGTGTTGTTTTCATAGTTTCCTTCACACAAACTCTAAATATTTTAATTAATTTCTAGATTTGAGGACAGTTCTGTCCTTTGACATAGTGGAAGGACATCAATCCAATAGCTTGTGGTCAGGTAGTAAACATACTTATATTAGGTTTTTCAAAGCTGATTATATTACACATTCTGTGTGTTTAATTTGTGAGCAAGCCTTCCAATAGCTATGTGTTTGAGAAAGCTGGTTTCATGTATATATGTTTTTCATTAATTACTTGACTGTTCACTTGTCTTGGTGTGCTAGCTAGTTTTATGTCAACTTGACACAGGCTATAGTCATCTGAGAGGTGGGAGCCTCAGTTGAGAAAATGCCTCTATAAGGTCTGGCTGTAGGCAAGCCTGTAGGGAATTTTTTTAAAAAAAATTAAGTGATTGATGTGAAGGATCCAGCCCATGGGCTTGTGGTCCTGGGTTCTATAAGAAGGCAGGCTGAGCAAGCCATGGGGAGCAAGCCAGTAAGAGCACCCCTCCATGACCTCTTCCTCAGCTCCTGCCTCCAAGTTCCTGCCCTGGTTTCTTCCCGTGATGAACAGGGATGTGGAAGTGTGAGCCAAAGAAACCCTTTCCTCCCCAGCTTGCTTTTTGGTCAGTGTTTCATTGAAACAATAGAAACCCTGACTAAGACATTTGATACGCTGAGTAGACCACTGTTCAGCAGTGAAGATGACAGACATAAAACATGGGAACACAATGCATGATCTCCTGTTGTTCAACAAAGCATTGCAAACTTAAGAATGCAAAGGGAAGCAGCAGTAGGATGTTTCACAGAAGACGTCAACTCACATAATACACCAGCAACCATGATATTTTCACACTGACAGCGTAGCAATGCTATTCCCATTGCTAGCCCTGGATACTCTCATCTGCAAAATAGAAAATGCCCCTTTTACTTCATTTAAGATAATTACTTGAAAAAATTGATATATTTTTGTTTGTGTGTGTATGTGAGGAAATGTATGTATGTGCACCATATGTGTGCAGGTGCCCATGGAGGCCGCACAAGGCTGCTGGATCTCCTGGAACTGGAGATGGTGTGTCTATGGATTCTGGGAAACAAACCCAGGTCCTCTGCGAGAGCAGCTGGTGCCCTTTTAACTACAGAGCCATATTTCCAGCCTGATTATCACGTCTTAAAATGTGCTTCTGGTGTATTTCACTATAATCACTCCCTAATTATAAACAGTACTTAAAATTCTGTAATATGTCCCACTTTGTAGTTAAAAAAAAAAAAAAAACTAAAAGAATCATACTGTCATACCAAAACCAAATCTCAGCATTTTGCATTTGCTTTCTCAAGGGAAGTGGGTTTGTAAAGATCATAAACTGTCTCGATGTTATCTAGGTTAACTCATGGTACTTGGAGAGCTTGACACCTGTTTGTGATCTGGTGTGGTAATCCAAACCCGTGAACTAATGAAATTGCCACTAAAAGAGGAACCACTGTGGCTTTTGTCATTTTCTCACAGTGAGAGGAAGGGACAGTTATGAAAATGAGTGTGACATAGTCATCTTCACAACCTCATCGACATGTGCTGTGTGTGTATTTGAAACCTTAATGAAATCCCAAGGAAAACACCAGTTCTACTGCTAATGACAGTCAGTGGGTACTGTACTCACAGGGTAGTTCTCTAGCCCTCCCAAGGGCTCACACTCTGCCTCATCATTATTTCAGTCAAATTCACAGTAGTCCCCTGAGGTAGGTGCTGGAAGTTCTTCCCTCTTAGGGGGTAAAGAGTGGCTGGATTTTCTTCTCCACATTCTATGTTCTAGAACTAGAAGACAACCTTATAAAGAACGCCCATATGTCCACTGATGAAGCTTCTTGAATGCATGAACACCAGGCTAGGAGCACATGTGGAATGTTGAGTCTGTTTGTCAACTAGGCTGGAGCGGGTAGGAAACCAGCCGTAGCTACCTGAGGGGCTGGGTATCTTGCTCAGAAGGAGGTGTCCATGCTGGAGAGAGCTGCTGTTGGAGCCATCTTCCTGAGGCTCCCCTCCCACACACATTTTCTTCCCGTGGCATTTCGGCCGACACTGCAGAGAACATTGGTCAGGCTGGAGGAACACTGGCTTCCCTGTCCTCAGTAGCTGTGAGATTTTTCAAAGGGACAAAGAGGAAGGTGAGCTGCTGGAAGTGGATGAACCCACATGGCCACTCATTGACCTGATCTTTTTTTTTTTTTTTTTAAACCAGGTCAACTTCCCCCATGGCTCTTCTATCTCAAGGGTGGGCTATGTCTGAAAATGGATGCCTCTTGCAGGAGGAGAGGGACATGTAACAAGTAAATCTGACTTCTCATCTCGTGGCCAGCTCATCTCAGGCCTTTCTTTCATAGTCTGAATATTTCCTTGTCTCCCGCAGCCTTGTTGTGGCTTTAGCTCGCCAACTAAAATAGATGCTTTTGGCTGGGTTTGCGTGCGTGCCCACACAAGCATGTGTGTAAGCCAAAGGTCAACATCAGACATTCTGCCCCTTAATTTTTGAGACAGGGCTGCCAACCTACATCTCACTAATTCAGCTAGACTGGCTGGCCATCGAGCCCAAAGGATTCATGGGTCTCCAACTGCCACACTCACTCCTGCATGTGCACTGGAGTTACTGGCATGCTCCACCATGCCTGGTTTTTTAAGTGGGTGCTTGGCATCCACACTCACATCCTTAAGCTTGCACGGCAGGCATTTTGCCCGCTGAACCATCTCCCTAGTTCCTGTGTTGTGTTGTCTTTAAAACAAACAAAACAAAACAAAACAAAACAAAAAAGCCCTTTAATCTGTCCCTGCATTCCTCAGTGCTGAGATAGTAAGTGTACAGTAAACTCTTGTAGTGACCACGGTGTCAAGGAAATACCTGGATGTACTAGCTGAACCACTTACATTTTTCTATTTTTACATCCATCAAAGGCTTAGCTGACACTACATTGAATTTAACCATATTTACCCTGAAAAGGAGGCCTTTAAATTTGGAAGAAGTGAGTTAAAGTTGGGCAGTGTACTGAGGGTGGGGAACTAATTACAGGGTTCCAGAACCCCTCAGGTGGCTGGGCTGGTGGCCTGACTGAAAGCTGCTTTCCTAAATTGGGAACAGCTGGGCCATAGTGCAAGCTAGTATAAGAGCCGCGGCTTCTCTCCGTGTGGTAAGTAAGGACTTTCTGCTCCTTGCAGCTGTGGCTCTTCGGCCAAGGGTGCCTTTCCTCAGCCACAGTAGGTAAGTGCCCCAAGGGAGACCGCTGGATGCCAGTTTCTATTGCTTGGTAGAAATTGTGATAGTATCAAAATGTTATCAGTTTCCTGTGGCAATTTTAGGAAGTTCCCCTGCGGCTACTTCTATCTACCCCGTCCCCAAATGGGGCATAGCAAAGGTTTTGTCCATCTTCCCATTTTGTTAGTTTGAAGGTCGTTGACTTTGTATATAGTGTATGTCTCTAGGTATGAAAAGATAAACTGAGGCACTGTTGTTTTAAGTGTTGAATGTGTTGCTTTGTAGCCTGTTCATAAAAGTAGTCACTAAAGGGATCATAGGTTTCTAATAGGAAATTCAGAAATGCATCTGTTGTGGGAAGTACAGACATAACAATTCAGCGATTTCCCAGAGTTTTCAAATCCTTCACATTTTTATTTCATTGTTTTGAGACAGGATTCCATACTTTAACTCGAGCTAACCTGAAACTTACTATGTCACCCAAGGTAACTTAAGTCACAGTAGTCCTCCTGCTTCAGCCTCTTAAATGCCATCATTAGAAGTTGAGCCACTATGCCCCACTATTTGATCCTTTTCTTAGGAAAGATTCATTCTCTTTCTCTTCCTTTCTTATCAGGAAGGAGTGGTGTTGTCTCCGGGCAGGTTCTAGTATATTATGACTTCATGGTTAGCAACTTGTGAGTGCTTGAAATGTTAGGTCCTAGCTTTATTGGAAGAAATTAACAGGGGATTGATTGTTAAGATGTTATCTATGTTTGCATCAGCTCACAGAGAGACAAGACTCCCAAGATTAAATGATCCAACACTGTATAAATAAATTCAATCTCAGCATCTGATGATGTCTTTGTAGGGCAGCCACTTTGGTATTAGTTTCCTCACTTTTGAGAATGTTTATATTTTGAATGGTTGGTAATTTGACAAGCCATTTCTCACCTCATTTTCTTTCATTCTTAGGAGGGTCAATAACATCTTCTGTGGGAAACAGAATCAGCTTCCTTTGTGAGTACACAGCAGATTGCTGTATGGGAGGAGTAAGAACCAGGAGGCCACCGTCTACATTTCCTATCAGCACACACAATCAATTCTAAGAGTCCATGTTGATCTTGGAAACAGAAGGATTTAAGAGAGTTAAGTTTCCACAGAGAACAAGAACCTTACCATCTCTTTTAGCTCTGAAGGCTGACAGACCATGGATACCATAGAGACAGCAAAACTTGAAGGTCATTTGGAAAATCAGACCAACGACTCTCCCAACACTTACACAGGCCCTGCTGACTCGGTAGAAGAAGGAAACAAAACTGGCAATGGTAAACCCAAGAGCTTATCCAATGGGCTACGTAAGGGTGCCAAAAAGTACCCGGACTACATCCAGATTTCCATGCCCACTGACTCCAGGAACAAGTTTCCCCTGGAGTGGTGGAAAACGGGCATTGCCTTCATATATGCTGTCTTCAACCTTGTCCTAACAACTGTCATGATCACAGTCGTGCACGAGAGGGTCCCTCCCAAGGAGCTCAGCCCTCCACTCCCAGACAAATTTTTTGATTACGTCGACCGGGTCAAATGGGCATTTTCTGTATCAGAAATAAATGGGATTGTATTAGTTGGGTTATGGATCACCCAGTGGCTTTTTCTGAGGTACAAGTAAGTATTGAATAATAACATATTTGGGTTTGGGTGTTTTTTTTTTTTTCTGAAAAGATGTGTCACTAAAAATGTTTCTCAGATTCTTCTAATGCATTTAGTTTTACCTAGACATTTGAGGAACGAAATTGTAGATAGGCATAATTGAATCAATTCGGCCACTATTCCATACGTGTTCATCGAGCGAGCACATATGTAGGTAAGAAGTTGTAGGAGTCTTGTGGAAGGGGGACTCAGTGCCTGGTTTCCGGTGACGTGGTGTCAAAAGAAGAAAGACGCTAGGAAAGCAGGTATGTTTCCAGGTTCTCTGCAGGTGCCCTAGGAAGCAGGCCAGGACGCCCTAATTTATTGTAGGATGATTGGTGTGCAGTCAACAGCTTGCTTTGACTTTACATCTGCTCGAAAGGTCTTAAGCTTTCTTTGCTCTCTTGTCCCTTTCCTGCCGGGCACAAAGTAGCCAGTGTTTGTTTAAGAAGCTGAATTTGGAACTAGGTTTCAGTGGTTTGGGTTTTAGATTTCGAAAGTAAGCGTGCCCTCCCTGGCTTCCCCTTGGCACTGCAAAGGCGAACGTGGCTGGGTAGTTCAGCCCCTGCATTCCTCCGCATCAGAACTGTGCCAACCGGGGAGCAGGAGTAGGGGAGGCTCCTCTCCCTTAAAAAACTGGACATCACTCTGACATGCTTATTTCTGCTTTCTCTGTACACAGAATTTCTCTGCCACTCAATTCCCCTGTCCTCTGGTTTGTCATTTAGGTGTTTGCTTTCTACTGGATCCCATGAATTAAGTCCCTAAAATATAACTTTGAACAAAATACCCACAATTCAGGGTTAAAAAAAAAATATGAAGCATGGGAAATCCCTCAATACAGCTTCAGGATCCAAAGTCAAATAAGAGTTCAGTGTTAACTGCCACAGGGTTGCTTTTAGAAGATGACTGTTGCTTCATAATTAGAAAAGTTCAACCTGCTTTTCTCGAAGACTTTCCCAAATGCAACCCTGCATTTTCCCAAACTTGCATGGCAAACTGAAGCTGCCCATAAGCAGTTTCCTTGTGGTGACTGTCAAAAGTCTTCAATATTTTTAGATAAAAGGCAGAGCTACAGATTGCCTTTTACTTAACAGAAGCAAACCGCTTCTGCGTGTGTCGGTTATGACATTCTACATGCTAAAAGCAAGGCTGTAGCTATTGACCATTAGTTTTCTTTTGGGTGCCTGGAATTGACACTAAACACCGTAGGGCTTGCATAGGCTCCGGACGGTCCCTGTGTGTAAAGGCTATTTATAATTACATTTGTGTGAAGAGATATTTAGTCTAGTGTGTAATTGGTTTCTGTCCTGCCCTGGAGCCTTCGTCTTGGTTTCTGTGAGATCTAGCTCTTATAATTATCTTTCCCAGATTTTGCCATGTCAAAACTCATGGACATGGGCTGGAGATGTCATTCAGTGCATCACATCCCCTCAACCCCCTTGACCCAACATGCATGAGGTCCTGGGTTAAATCGCCAGCCCACAAAGAAAAACACAAAGGAACAATGGAAAAGCCATGCACATTGATATTGGAATTTCACACTCTCTACTATGAATCATGTTCAGTTACTACATGCTAGTTAAAAAGAGAATATTGACAACGCACCTACCTAGGCCATGTGCTTTATACCCACTGCTAAGATCACAAGCAGCATTAATTTACCATTTCAGTTTTGAAGTAGATTTGGATCTTGGATTTTTGTAACTGGTGGAATAATTCTCATAGCCTTTTTAATACCCTAGCCAAGTAAGAAATCGTGCTAGTCCCAGCCTCTCTTAACATGTCCTGTTTTATAGGGTTTTTTGTTGTTGTTGTTTGTTTTGTTTTGTTTTTATTCCCTTTCTTTTTTTCTTGGCACCGGTACCCAGGACCTCACACATGTCGGCCAAATCTTCTACCATGGAGACAACTCTCCTGTCTCTTTTTCTTTCAAAAACTCAGAGGGAAAACGCACCATGGGAAGTTCTTTTTCCTAAGTAAGACTGTATTTAGAGTGTTTCACCTAAGTGAATCCTCTGCTGGGCACAGACTACTGGAATGAAAATAACTGACTCATAATAATATTTCCTTATTTCTTGCCATTGTCGAATAGCATGAAGCACCGTTCATAGCAGCACTCCTGGGGGGGCTGGGGTTGAATCACAGAGTGAATTGCTTCCACTTAATTAAGGGAGAGCAGCCAGCACTGTTGACTGTGCCTATTCAGTACTAAGACAGCAAAGGTAGGTTCCCAAGTGCAGTAAGTTAGCACTTTCATCTCCCCTCACCTGAAACCCTGGAATGTTCTTGAAATAGCTATTGGTGGCAGACTATTAAATATATATATTAAATTAGAAGTCCCAAGTTACCTGAATTTGACCATGGTCACTGTAAGAACCAGTGTCTTGGGGAAAACTGAAAATATTCCTCATCTCCGAGGCTGCCTGTTACTCTGGAGTCTTTTGGTCAGCGATGGTTTGGAAACTTGGGAGCTGTGAGGTTGAGAAACCCAGTGGAATGAATGCACCGTGTGTTCTAGAGAAGTTAAAACAAGCAATTGGAGGTGACAGTGCGTCCCCACTCATGGGCGTGTTCAAAGCCGGCACGTACAGACATAACAGAAAGGGGGCTGTCACCGTGTGCCGGGAGCCGAGAGCCCACAGACCCTTTTACACCCATGCTGGTGTCCATGAGGCAGTCGTGCTGTGGGCAAAGCCCTGGGCATTGGAGGGCAGTGAGCTCAGTCAGCTTCTAGAACAATAGGCTTAGGCTGAAGACTCAGAAGAGCTCAGAGCCGCAGTCAAGACACCATTTTGCCTTTATTTCTCGACCCATCTTTTTCCATTTAATTCTATTATGTTTTATTTTAATTTTCCAGACTGGCCTTAAGTTCATTATGTAGCGAGTGTTGGCCTTAAACTATTGACCCTCCTGCTGCCGTCTCCCAGATGCAAGGTGTTGGCTTATGCAGTATTAGAAATCGAATCAAAGACTTTGTGTACACAGCAAATGTTCTAACACCTAAGCCACATCCCCAGGCCTTTTAATTTTTCACTGGTACATAAACACTTACAAACTGGATTCCATAATGAGATATATATTCATGTAAGCGTGTACTATGTGACATCAAGTCAAGCATGCCTCTCTTTAAACACTTTTATTAAAAATATTTTTAAATTTTACTTTATTTTATGTATACGGGCGTTTTACATGCATGTATATCTATGCATCACGTGCAAGCCTGGGACACACAAAGACCTCTGGAACTGGAGTTACACATAGTTGTGAGCTGCCATGTAGGTGCTGGGAATTGCCTGTGTCCGCAGTAAGAGCAGCCAGTGCCCTTAGCCACTGAGCTGTTTCTCCAGCCTATTTATCACTTCATTACGGCGAAGCATCTCAAGTCCTTCTAACTTATGTTTGAAATACAGAGCACAGCGTTAACAGTAGCATCTTGCTATATGGAACATCTCAGCACATCTAATTCCTAACTGTAACTTAGTACACATTGATCAGCCTTCCCACATAACCCCTCCCAAATACAGAGTCACCCATATCCCTGGTAAACTCTAGTCTGTGCCTAACTTCTCTGAGACCAACTTTTTTTCAGTTTGGCATAAGGGTGAAATTATTCTGTTCTCAAACTTTCTATGCCTGGCTTACTAAATGTGGTCTCTAGTTCCATCCAAGTTGTCACAAAAGGCAGGACTGAACTCTTTTCTCATGTCTGAATAGTGTGATATTATACATACACATGACCTCTTATCTGTTCCTCAGCTGGTAACCATGTAGGCCGGTTCCATTTTGTGGTTGTCATAAATAATGCTTTAATAATGCTTCAATAAATGATAGTGCAATTTTGTTTAGAAAAAGGCAAACAATTCTAACCCTTGTACTCCTTTTTATTTTCTTTGGCCATTTAAAAATCAATAGTGAACAAGATAATACTGAATCAATCCATGCTCAGAATATAATTCACTGAAAACCTATCCAGCCAGAGAAAACAATTCATGCCTACATTGTCAGACCATCTCTGGATGGTCCCAATTAAAATCTTGCTTGCATAAGTAGGGTTTAATGAGTTGTCACATTTCCCTATGTATCCAATTATGTAATGTCACCTGATCCATTAGTTTATTCCTCTATGGTCACGGCTCACTTACACCTCTGATGTGTTCTCTAGAGGGTTTTGTTAATCGGCGAGTTGACTGAAAACAGAGAGAGGCTTATTGAATTCCCTGGCAAAGGAAGACTTTTTTTTTTTTTTTTTTTTTTTTTTTTAAGGAGACTATCTAGATTCTTCATGTTCTTAACTTTCCCGTGTCCACACTTCCTTAGTCCTTCAGGCCCCAAATCACTTAAGTATACTTCAATGTATAAATCTTTCTTTATGGAGATAGACTCATTCTCACTATGGAATTAAGGGATGAACAGCTCACAAGCTTTAAAATTCTGTGAAATTGGCTTTTATTTGTTTAATTCCATTGCTTCTCTTATTTTCAGTCAATTAAACAGTGATTTACTTTGCAGTAGAAGTACAGGGAGACAAGGATGGTAGCTTGCACCTGTAATCTTGGCTCTCAGGAGGTGGAGGCCAGATCATGAGTTTGAGGCAAGACTTGGGTATATAGCATGGTCCAGGCTAGCTTGGACTAGAGTGAGACCCTGCCCTCCCCTCTCCGACCCCAGTAAAATAAATAATAATAAGACAGACAACTGGTAAACCTGTTTCTCCCCCATCCCTGTGTTCCCTTTAGGTCCATAGTGGGGCGCAGATTCTTCTTTATCATCGGAACTTTATACCTGTACCGCTGCATAACTATGTATGTCACTACGTTACCTGTGCCAGGAATGCACTTCCAGTGTGCTCCAAAGGTAAGCCTCCAGGTCCCACAGAGAGGAGTCAATCAATATACAATCCCAAAGCAACTCACTCTTCCACACATTCCTCTAATACACCTTCGCAGGTCTTAGCTGCAGTCTGGCATACTGTCTAATTTGTTCTGGATTGGGGGAACCGTGTTCATTAAGGATTTTACATTTTTGCAAAGAAAGAATTTGCTGTCTGTTTACTAATAATCCAATATTTGACTCTCTGATGTCTTCACTTATTTATATATCTCAGACATGCATTCTGTAAGGATGATACTAATGGTCCCGGGCACTATAGTTGACCAAAGTGCAGGCCCTCCCCTAGAGTTTATATTCTTTCTCTTAAGGAATTCACAATGTATCCCAGGATGCTAGGTCAAATGATTGTTACAGGAAAACAATAGGAGCTTTTCAACAGAAAGGTCAGGGAAAAGATGTTTTGTTTTTGTTTTAAACTTGACAAGAAGAAAGGGAGAGAACTAGCCACATGGGTGGGGTCAGAGTCACAGGCCAGGAGAACAGTTTCCATGCATCGGGTTTAAGGAACAGCATGCAGCGGGAGGGTCAGCAGAACTGGCCACAGGCTGCAAAGGTTGTCACTATTGTGTGCCTCGGTGGTCATGATCGTGGAAGTGATGTCATTTCATCCAGGACACATCCTGCCAGAAAGATTAACAGAACGCCACTCATGGTGTGGATAGGGTTTGAAAAAGAAAAGTCAAGGACCACTCTAGATGGTTAACCATTGGAAAGATGGCGTTGGCTTTGCTGTTGTTGAAGCTGTCTGCAGAGAAGTTAGTTTCTTCACATAGCATCCAGGCACAGGAGGGCCATTGTTCATCTTAGACCCCTGTGCACTCTGGTTTATGAAGTGGAAATTTACTGATCATGTGCTTTCTGGACAGGGGAGTGAGGGCTAACATTAGACGTCACTGAACACAAAGCAGATGTCAAGAGGGAAGGCGGCCGGAGCTGCTGTGGAGAAGCCAGCCGGCTCCCTTACCAAATATAGGTGTGGTTTGGCAAGGCAGTAATTTCCTAAAGCCATCAAAGCAGAGTGTGTCTGTAATTAAACCAGTCTACACATTGAATTTAAACACCGACTGGGTTTGCCTGAAACTAATTTGAGACATGTGAGTTCAGAAGCGTAATGAACAGTATTACAGTGTGGTCAGTGGCGAGGTGGCCACCGCAGAGGAAGGCAAACCCTTCCTAGGAATGGATGAGGTTAGCAGGGAAGGGTCACTGATTAGAGAAAGGCATATTAAAGGTCACCCTTCATGGATGAGCAGCAGATTTCCAAAGCCGTATCAGAGAGTATGCTGTCGGAGGGACTGAGCTGCAGACTCGCCTGGAGGAGGGGCCCCCGGCTAATCACCCACCACGTTCAGTGAGCAGACCCCTCCTGAGAAGTGGACTGTGTTTGCCTGGGAGGGACTCTGTTCTGTAAATGGACATATGCCTCTGCCTGTCCAGCTGAAGGAGATGTGGTGAATAGAGAGCAGGAATCAAAATTGCATTCTAAATTTGACCCAACTGCTGCTTCCAAGTGCTGCTTCGATGCTTGTGGCCAGCCACAAGGCTTTCCGATATCTACCTGTTTCCTGTGTTGGCACGGCTGGTGAAAGTCCTTCAGAGTGGGCAATGACAGGTTCTCTGTCTGGAAATGGACGGCTTGCAGAACTTATCACATCACAGTGGCGTCCAGGGCTCTTGCACTGAGGGCCTAACATCGCTGTTGGCCGCATCTCTCTTGTAACTTGTTCAAGTCCTTTACTTACAGTTTCCTTCATACACCACCCAAGCTTTGGCGTACAGCCAGCATCTCTATTTTCTTCGATGTGTGCCTACGTGAAAGTTGGCTCAGTTGTGAAATGATTCCGTTTTTCTAAGTCAATCTCTATAGAGACAGGGACATGTTCCTTTCCCATGGAAGCTCTTTAGGGTTAGCGTTCCCTCGCCAAGGCTATAGCGGGCCAAAGGGCTTTTCTTCCTTCTTTCCTTCCTTTCTTTTTTTTAAATAATTTTTCCCTTTTATTACTTTAAAGTCTTATAAATGTGTGGGTTATACATTATGAGGGTTTTTTTATTGAAAACAGATTATTTTATCTATTTATTTATTTATTTATTTATTTATTTATTTATTTATTTGCATAACCTCTCCTATCCTTCCCAGTTCCTTCCCACTCCCCACAGGTCCATGCCCTTTCCATCTCTCTTAGGAAACAAACAGGCTTCTGAGGAAATATGGTAGCTAAAACAAAGATAAACACATCAGAATAGACAAAGAGAAGGAAAAGAGCCCGAGAAGAGGCATAAGAAACACATATAGACTCAGAGACTCCCTTGCTTGAATACTCAGGAATTCCATAAAAACACAAAACAAGCTATGGTATCTGCACAAAGCACACAGAGAGAGGCAGAGAGGGAGACGAGGGAGGGAGGAGAGAGATTAAAAAGAAAGCAAAAAGAAAAAACAGAACCACGCCTTAACACCAATACTTGGAAGGCATAGGCAGGTGAATCTCTGTGGCTTCGAGGCCACCCTGATCTACAGAATAAGGTCCAGGACATCCATGACTACTCAGAGAAACCCTGTCTTGAAAAACAAAACAACCCCCTGCCCCAAACGCACACATAAAAGGAAATAAAATAAAGGCCCTGGCATGACATTATGAGATGCTACTGAGCATCTAAAGATGCCATTGAATTTAGTTCCTGTTGCCCATCTACTGCAGGCACGCAGCCTACCTTTAAGAGTAGCTGATTTCCCCCAGTGAGACTCCCTTGAAGAAAATGAAATTTTCATTTGCAAGTGGTTATCAATTGGAGATAACTTCTGGGCTAGGGATGGGAGCGTGTGTCCATTCCTTCAGCTCCAGACCCCATCTGGTGCTGACCCGTGCAGGCCCTATGCATGCTGCCTCAGTCAGTCTCTGGGAGTTCATAGGTGGATCTGTCCTGCTGTGTTTAGAAGGCCTTGCTTCCTCGATGGCCTCCAGTCCCTCTGGTTCTCACAGTCTTTGTCTCCACTGGAGCCCTGAGGGGAGGGATTTGATGGAGACATCCACTTATGGCTGAGTGTTCTAAGGTCTCTCTCTCTCTCTCTCTCTCTCTCTCTCTGCATAGCGTCTGGCTGTGGGTTCAGGGGCTTCTTTTAAACGGGAGGGTTTCTTGTTTGTCTGCAGCCACCTAGGAGTGCTCTGTACCTATTTTCCTTTTGTGGGAAGCAGCGTATGGGAGTCACAGTTGCAGGAGTCCTTGAGAATGGTGGGGCGCCAGTGTGTGGGTGTTTTGATTGATGCTTCTTTCTTAGGTTTCTGCAGCTTCAATTTTCTTCTGGTAGCTAGGTGCATGGACTCATGTCTGAAAAAACAAGGAGATGAGTAGGTCATGAGTGTTGCGTGACGTATAGCACAAGGACCTCCCGACCTGAGATAGGCCTCGGACTTCACGTCCTTCTTCCTTTCCCAGGCTTACCCTGCTCGCTTCCCTTCCTTTCTTCCCGGGAAGTTCTTAGCAGTTTTAAATCCCGATGTCCATCTCAGGATTACCAGTGATAGATAGGGTGTAAGGGTCAAGTCAGGGTGGACCAGTAAGATAGCTTATAGTGAGGGAAAGAAAGGCATTGGCTGCCAAGCCCGGTGAACTGAGTTTGATCCCCACGTGGTAAAAGAAGAGAACCAACTCCCATGGCTTGTCTCCCGAAATCCACATGCCTGCTGTAGCATGTGCACACACACACACACACACACACACACACACACACACACACACACGCACACACGGCTCTGTGCCCCGCCCCCACATACACACAAATAAATGTGCATGGAAAGCAAGAGAGGCTTTTCCTCCCTTCAACCAAAGGCCACAGAAATGCCCTTGCAGTGTCTCTCTTTCCCACAGGAGGCATGGCCTAAGACGCCTAGTGGGTATCTGAACCTGCAGGTAGTACTGTATGTATACAGTTTTCCCAGTGTGTGTGTGTGTGTGTGTGTGTGTGTGTGCATGTGCACGTGTGTTTAAATTTATAAACTAGGCAAGTAAAGAATTGGAAATAACTAATGATAAAATAAGAGGGAATGCTAATATAATGTTAGTTAAAACTATTTCCTGAGGGGAAGCTGCCCACTTAATATTTGCAGGCTGAGATTGGCCTTGAGACCTCCGAGAAAGCAAATCATATACCAACATTGATGAGCAGAAGAGGGGGTGTGTGATCCAGGAGCTACTGTGTTTACACCTCAGGTTATCTGGCCCGAAGTAGAGGGACTAATGACTTTAAGTGCTCCTACCTTCAGAAAAGTTGTGACAGGTTAGTGGGGGAGAAATGAAGGTAATACATCCTTTTGGTCTGGGGTGCAGCATCGGGCACTGTGTGTTCCCTGTTCTATTTGTTCGCATTGTGGGTAGTTTTTTGTGCCGATCTCATGACAGGAAAAGGATGATGGCCACTGAGAGCCAATGGCTGTATTGTATCTCCCGTGTTAAGGGCATGCATGGTACTTCATCCAATAAATTCCATTTGAATGCCTTTTGGGGGAGTTCCTGAAGTCAGTCATGTGATCTGCCAAGAGGCTCCTGTGGGCCTTTGAGAAGGCAGCATCTGCTGTCATTGTGAGCCAGGAAGAAGAGAAGATGGGCAAAGAAAGGGCTGGGCTCCCCCATGATTCACTGCAGAGAGCCAAAGATCTCCCAGAAGGTTCCATAGCTTAACATGTGCTCCCTCCTCCCTCTTAGTCCTCTCTCCCCACCCCACCCCAACCAGGTTGGCCGCAAACTCAGAGATCCGCCTGCCTCTGCCCCCAGGAGTATGAGAGCTGGAATCAAAGGGTGTACCACCCAGCCTGGCAGTTAATAGCCACCTTCTAATAGCGTCACACCACCATCCTGGAACTAATCTGTAAACATGTGACAGACCCTCGCCCAGATCTTAGTAACGACTGTCCACTGCTGGAAACTTATTTTGATTTTGCCATGCTTGATGCAAACTGTAAGGCAAAATGTCTTAGAAGCCTCAGCCCCTCGCCGCACTAATTCCGCTTTGAGTCATTTCGGTATAGCAATTGATGAGGAGTTGAGCAGCTCCGTGTTTGCCTTTTTTCCATGGGTCTCTTAGTAACAGGTGGCTTCCCGCAATAGTAATGTGCTATAAATGGGGGCATTTCTGGTCTCCCTAATGGGAGATGGTCCCTTCATGTCCTGGGCGGGGCTGCAAACTACCTGCTTTGAGGCTCTCCCTATCACACGTACACACCTGCCTTTACAATCATGTGTCCACTCGGGCAACGCACAACAGTGTTTGCTCCACCTGCCGGCCTAACCGCTGATGCAGCTGGACTGTCGTGCTTCAGGGACCAGAGTTCAGAGGCAGGAGTCTGAGAACAACGAAGGCAGGCGTGCCACCAACCTGTCCCCAAGATCCCAAATGACTAGTCAGTACCAGTCCTTCTGCGTTTCTCCTTTTTGTAGACTGTCACTCACTCGCCTCCCCCGCAACTGTCCCCCAGCCCCCCCAGCGTGTCTCTTCTAAGATTATGCCCACATATTCTGAAATTTTAATAGGATGTCTAGATAAACTAACACTGGGCATTCCTGCCCTAGCCTGTCATTGTTTCTTATGACATCATTGTGGTTTAGAAAGGCTTCTGTCCCCTTGGCCCCAGTGTAGAACTTAGATTCCTTGTGATATGCTTTCCTGGTCAGAGCTGTGAGAGCTTGCTGGTGCGGTCCCCAATGTGTCATTTCCAAACCTAGGTAAATTACGGGATGAGTATTCTGTAACTGTGTTTCCAGCATATACTGGCAAGGCTGTATGCTCACTTATGCATATACGGTACCAATAGATCCAGTAGACAGCTTAGCTGGATGGTGATGGCCCCAAATCCTCACTTCCTCCTGCCAAAAGGAAGCAAAGTAGCTCCAATCTGCTTTTTAGCACATAGTGGTGAGGTCATTGGTTATTAATATTTTTAAAAGCTTTGCCCAAGGACACGACACCACTAAAACATATTATTAGTAACATACTGAATAATTTAAAACATGTCAATAAGCCCAACCAACATAATGAGGAGGACCTTGAGGAATATTTCTGACTTTTTGTGTTTAAAGGGAAAATTTAACAAGCAGAGAACAATCACAGCCTGGTGACTCTTCCAACCGAAGCATGACTGTGCGCGTCTTGTAAGCTCTCCTCTGTGTTTTGTGTCACTCAGCTCAATGGAGACTCTCAGGCGAAGATACAGCGGATTCTCCGGTTGATTTCTGGCGGTGGGTTGTCCATAACTGGGTCACACATCCTGTGTGGAGACTTCCTCTTCAGCGGTCATACAGTAGTGCTGACTCTCACTTACTTGTTCATCAAAGAATGTAAGTCCTAGTTCATCCCTCACTGAACTGATGGCCGTGGTGGGCGGAGTCCCAGGGCCCTGATGTGGGTGGGATTCCTTCTGCTGGGATGACAGTTGGGAGAGGGACAGATGTAAACACTGTGCACACATGTGCTTTATCATTCCACCTAGTCATGTGTGACCTCTAGAGTAAAGCCCTGGCTGTGGTTTCTCCTGGCATCTAGTAATGCCTCCAGACATCCCCCTTCTTCCTGAGTGCTTCACAAGGCAGGAAGTTCTTAATAACGAGACAGAGAGGTCAAGCATAATGGCGCACACCTTCCACCCCAGAACTTGGGAGGGAGAGGCAAGTGGATGTAATAAGCTCAAGGCCAGCTTGGTCTACACGATGAGTTCTAGGCTAGCCAGAGCTATAAAGTGATTTTTTTTTCCCAAAAATGGAGGTGGAGTGAAAAACAATGAAATGATAAATGTGTTGTTTAAAAAAAAAAAGTACACTCTAAAGATAAAGCCAAATGACTTATTTGCCAGACATGTCTGTTCTACGATTCCCAATAATTGACATGTATTTCCTGAATTTCATCCACATGCTTGTCTTATTTTATTCCAATGTGGTCATTCATCATTTCCCTGTCTCTGCAGTAGTAGGGTATTCTGTGGAACATCTTGTCCTTATGAAACACACAGGCAAGGAATTAAACTCTTTCCATGTCAATACACCAAGTTCCCATTATGTAAAGCCCTTATATTTTATAGTAGCGTGTTGTTTTAATGTTTCTAGTAGTTTTACTGTTTTTTAGCCTGCCTTGCTTTGCTTGCTTGAAATGAGGTCTTGCTTGACAGTGCAAGCTGGCCTGAACGCACAGACCTCCTGTGTCCAAAGTGCTTTGCAGTGGCTCTTATTGTTCACTGAAGGGCTGTCGTTGCCTAGCAGGCCCCCTGTGTGTTACTCCCTGAGTGCTGCCCGTCCCCTCCGTGCTTTTGAATGGCCATACTTCTTTCTCCGTGGTTCTCTGTGGTTCTTCCAAGATGTCCTATGCCCGGTGCTTCCAGAAGCTTCTCGCAGTTCTCTTTGCTTTGCATGGGCAAAAGAGCTTTGGGACACTGTCTTAGTTCCTTTTTCTCTGTTGTTATAAAGAGGCACCATGACCAAAGTAACTTATAAAATAAAAAGTTTAATTTGGGACTCGCTTACAGTTTTAGGGAGTGAGTAGAATCCATGACCATCATGATTGGAACATGACAGCAGGCAGGCATGGCACTGTGGCAGTATCTGAGAGCTTATGTTTAACAACATGTTTAAACAACAGCCATGAAGCAGAGGGAGGAGGGAGAGGAGAGCAGAGCAGAGGAGAGCAGAGGAGAGGAGGGAGAGGAGAGGAGGAGGAGGGAGAGGAGAGGAGAGCAGAGGGGAGGAGGAGAGGAGAGGAGGAGGAGGGAGAGGGAGAGGAGGAGGGAGAGGAGGGAGGGAGAGGAGAGGAGGAGGAGGGAGAGGAGAGGAGGAGGAGAGGAGAGCAGAGCAGAGGAGAGGAGAGGAGGAGGAAGAGGGAGAGGAGGAGGAGGGGGAGGAGAGGAGAGGAGAGGAGGAGGGGGAGGAGAGGAGAGGAGGAGGGAGAGGAGAGGAGAGGAGGAGGGAGAGGAGAGGAGAGGAGGAGGGAGAGGAGAGCAGAGCAGAGCAGAGGAGAGCAGAGGAGAGGAGGGAGAGGAGGAGGGAGAGGAGAGGAGGAGGAGGGAGAGGAGGAGGAGGGAGAGGAGGAGGAGGGAGAGGAGGAGGAGGGAGAGGAGAGGAGGAGGAGAGGAGAGGGAGAGGAGGAGGGAGAGGAGGAGGGAGAGGAGGAGGGAGAGGAGGGGAGAGGAGAGGAGAGGGAGGAGGAGGGAGGGGAGGAGGGAGAGGAGGGGGGAGAGGGAGGAGGGAGAGGAGAGGGGAGAGGAGGAGGGAGAGGAGGGAGGAGGGAGAGGAGGAGGAGGGAGAGGAGAGCAGAGGAGAGGAGAGGTCTAATTCGGAATGGAATGGGCTTTTGAAACTTCAAGAACTATCCCCAGTAACATACCCTCCTCCCAGAAGGCCACAACCCCTAATCCTTCCCAAACAGTTCCACCAACTTTGGATCAAGCATTGAAACACGTGAGCCTGTTGAGGGCCATTTCAGGTCACCATAGGCACAGACCTGTATCCCAGGGGCTCCCTGTCCCTTGCTGTCCTCTCCTCTTTGGCCTTTCATTGCTCCAAACAGGTTGGGCTTCATGTAGGCTCCTTAATGCCTTTGCATTAAAAGCCCAGGGGTTTGCATACTATATGTTGGGGGACAGTATATATCATCTCTCCACACACCCCAGGGCATCCTCATTTAATGGAATTGCTGTATTTCTAATGCATTATTATTAGTTATAGTGTGTTCTTTATGTTCTAGTTCTAAATTTTGACCAAGGAAGTTCCACCCATGGAGGAGGGTCTATCATTTTCTAGTCCAGAGGTACACTCTCCAATCTGTGGATCATGGGATGCTTACAGAAGATGGGCACTGCATATCACAGTAAAGGCACTCTGTGTTGAAAAACATAAAGTAGTGAAAAGAAAATGTCCCGGGGATTTAGTATCTATTGCAGTTAAATAAGGATTTGGATAAACAAATAGGCCGAATAGATGTTTATTCAGGGAGAAATAACTTACAACCTAAACAGATGAACACCAGCAAATTCCACTGGATGCTCTCCTCTCCACGTCCTGCCACCAAGAGAGCATTCCCGGGCTCCTCCTCAGACCTCCTTCCACAGGTCACTTCTGCCCTGGCTCCATCCACCAATGGGCGTGGTCAGTGCCACAGAAGGAGAGAAAGTGAATATCCCACTACAATTCCCCTTTCCCCTTTTAGTCTAAAGAAAAGATTTAGGCTTGATACAAAACTATATACAAAACAGTGAATAACAAGTGTGCTCTAAGAAAAGGAAAATCGAGAACAAAACGACTTACATATCTAGTCCTAGGGTGAAGGCATAACAGAGTTTACAATAGAGTTGTCCTAAGCTGGAAAACTTAAGTCTAGTACCTAATATATCTAACTAGGAAGAGAGAATAATAGTTGTGATAGCTTAATCTTCAACCTCATCAAGATCTGAGAAGGAAAATAACGATACTAGGGTAGACAGGAAGTGCAGATGGGCAACTTCCAAAAGGTGCAGCAAGGACAGAAACAGCAGGCTACCTGGACAGTCACCCAAGGTCTCACAGCAACGTTGGTACACCCAGTTTTAGCTAAGGCCAAGAGTATTTGACAGACCATAAAAACAGCAGAGAGGTAGAAAGGCTGTCTTACCCTGACTTGGCAAGGTTCAGCAGTCTTCTATATTTGTCTCCTGCAAGCACATAGGACTGCATGTCCAAATCAGCGGTCAAGGTGGGGCAATTCTTTGCCGAAGAGGCCATTAGCTGAGGCGAAAATGAACTCCAGCAGGAGCAACAACAGTGTCCAACATATTTTCAGGAAAGTGCACGGTGCTGTCAGGAGCAACAGTGTCTCATGTCAACGGAGTGCTAATATTAAAACATTTAAATGCCATGTTCTGCATGTCTATGAAGTGATTGAAGATTAAGCATCTATATCTGACTAATCTCAAAGGTACAGGAAACATGAGTGAAGATAATCTGTAATACTCAGGAACTTAGCTAGAAAAACTGATTGAAACTTCCCTGAGTAAAGCAGGAACAAATACCTAAACAATATAACTATATACATATACATACATGTAAATGGCTAAAATAGAGGTAAAGTAGAAATGTCAAAACAAGAGGTAGAACTATAAAGGGCAGCATGATAAATATCCCAAATTGTATCAATATACAAAATGTCTTGAATACAAGAAAAGTATACATACATAGAATATGGCAAGAATAAATGTGCATAAATTGTGTCAATATACGAAATGTCTTTAACATAAGTAAAAGTACACATACATAGAATATGGTAAGAATAATGTGCATAAAACATCGTAAGTGGAAAGATTTCACACAGTATAACAAAATATAAACTTAATTTTACATAGCTTACCACAAATAAGAATATATAACAATGTAAGCTGTAAAATACTATTAAGTGTCAGTTTATTCAATATCTACAATAATGATAGTTCTACGCCTAGCACTAATCTGTGCCCTTGATACAAATGCTGTAGTCTTTGCCACCCCTCCAGGGGGTGCTGTCTCGCCTCCTCTTTCCTCTACTTGTGTATACAGGAAGTGACCTGGCTATAAATACAACTTCAGTGTTTTAGGATGAAGTGTTTAAACGCACTCTGACTCCAGAGATTGTGGTCTTAATTTCTTGGTTCTGTTTAGAAGTTTTAGAGATTTTTAAGTTGGAGCAATGGCTCAGAAAGCAAATTATTTGCTGTTGCAAATCATGGGGACCCAAGATTGAATCTCTGCTGTTCCTGTTAAAAACTGGATATAAAAGCACATGCCTGTAATCCCAGCATTGGGAATATAGAGACAGTGTGGAATTGGGGGGGGGGGGGTGTCCCTGGGGCTTGCTGGCAGCTAACCTTGCTGGATCAGTGAGCTTCAGATTCACTGAGAGACCCTGTTTCAAACTCAAATTAAGGCAATGAACAACTGAGGGAGACCCTTGGTATTGACCTCTCCAGCCAGCTTATACAGCCCCACACACACAGAGAGACAGACAGACAGACACACACACACACACACAGAGAGAGAGAGAGAGAAGAGAGAGAGAAAGACACACACACAGAGAGACAGAGGGGACATATACACAAACATGTACACACAAGCAGCAAACACACAAAGAAGTCCAACTTGTCTGATCTTACAGGATCATCTAAGAATAGTCTACTTAATGATAAACAGGGCATAGTTTTCATTCATCTTTCCATCAGAGCAAGTAGAAAGGCAAGTTGTGATTACTTCTATATGCAATATATAGAGACATATTTCCCCATGGCATGATTTTTTAAAAAGTTACATTATACATTTACGTATGGCATGGGAAGAATTATATTTTTTCCAACAACTTTTGAAACGAAACTGCTATAAATTTAGCTGCATCACCAGCCCTCTGATGTACACCGGGCAGTCTGTGTTTGTTTGCACCTGTCTTGAAGTCACCGCCTGAGTCATACCTGTCTTGTTTCCATGAGTAGGCAGTGTCTCTGGTGCTTTGGAAAGTCAGCTTCTAGAGGATGTGCTGCTTATATGTGATTACTCTCCTGCCTTTTGATCGTTCTGGGTTCTTTCCTTGCTAGCACTCTTGTTGAAAGTGGATTAATATTCAGTTGGGAGAGCGTACTGGATCAGGACCATTTCGTTATTTAACATGAAAGGGTTTAATTGCACCAATGTGCTCGTGGAGCCTGTATTCTTCAAAAGCCTGTGGAAGACGGTGTGGGCTGGTAATACTAAATGTCTGGCCTCTTCTCCAATGGATTTTCTTAGTGCTTGCCACGAGTTCATTGTCTGTATTTAATGCCACCTCTGCTGGAGGTCCCACACAGACAGTGAAGTCCATTTATTGTCATCTCTTCACTCGGTGTTATCCCTGTGGCTAGAAAGAGTAGACAAACAGGATTCTTTCTCATTTGCCATTTTGGTTGCTTCTACCCCGCTGGGTGTGTGTAATCTTAGTACCAAGGAGGCTGAAGCAGGATTGTTAGTTAAAGGCTAGCCTGGGTTACATAGTGAGCTGCTTTCTCACAACAGTAAACAGGAGCAAAAACAAGTCACCTTATTCTTGGTGCGGGGAGAGAGGAGAGTGGGTTGTGATCTCAATGTGGTAGCATCATAGAAAATGCATTTTCATAGGACACATGAGGTTTTCTAGAATTCTTTTAAAAAACTAACTTTCGGTGCCATCAGTAGTAAAATGGCCATTCTGGCCACACCATTACTCCTTACCCATTTCAGTTTCTGGTGATTAATGGTACAGAATAGTTCTAATGTACCCAAACATCTTGAGCTGTTAATAAATCCCCGACGACTTACATGGAGAAAAGTGTGTCAGATACGAAGCTTCAGGAGGGCTGGTGGGGGTGTGGAACTGGAGAATGCATGTAATGAGTCCTTCGGTGTTCAGGGTTCTAATGCAATAGTCATTGGACTGGATCTCGACCCCCCTGAGGCCTCTCCTGGCATTTAAATCTCTTAGCAAACATAGCAGCAGGATGAAGTTACTAAATGATGAGGAAGAAACTGAAATGAGAATCAAATATAGGGATGTGGTTCCACTTGGGATCCACAGAGCTGTAGCTGATTCGGCAAGAATCCCCTTGTGTACGGATGGTAACTGTTTAGGTAACCGTTTAGGCCGCTGTCTGAAGTTTCGAGGATCACACATTTTGCTCTTTAACCGTTCTTTTACAATCAAGCACCTGTGTTGCTATGAACATAAACCAAGTTTAATGTCAAGTTGATTTCAGTCTGCTAGATCATTACACGTTTATTGTGAGGCAGTAAAGCTTTAAAATAGAAAGAAACGGGAGGGGACCAGATGGCCAGATAATAGGAATAGACTATTTCAGCCATGTCTTTCATGAACACTTACCTGAGGAGGACTTGGGGTTGCCACTCTGTTAACCCGTTGAGTGCTGGTCAGTGGCATGAGCTCAGTAACCTCATGCAGGAGGCAAGATGTCGGTACAGGGAGGGGCAAGAAGCCAGAACTTTGGCACCGGAGAGCTGTGCCATTGCTATTGTCAATGGTGGTATAAAGTTGCTGAGAATCAAATCTTGCTCACCCCATGGTGGCATTCCCCCACCACAGAGACACATCTGAAGAAATACAAGTAAACTTAAGACCTCAAAATATCCCTGCTTTTCTCATTTTGGCCCCTTATTTTCATGGACCTTTTCTTTGGGCCCTTACTATTTCTCTTTCCAGTGGGGTCATGTGTGTGAGCCAGTTTGAGCCAATTCTAGCTAACCTAAATAACAGCTCTATTCTCTTCCTTATTTAATAGATTGTTGAAGGCGGGCAAGGCCTAGAATATCTCTTGTTGCCCATCCACCTCCTAAGAATGACTGCCATGCCTGCTAACGTGACCCCCTCTGCCTTGGGTTCCAGCCCCAGCCAGTCAGTCAGTCCATGAGTCCATCTCTGGGGATCTTACTGCCTCTGTTTTCCTGCTCCAGATTCACCTCGTCACTTCTGGTGGTACCATCTGGTCTGCTGGCTGCTGAGTGCCGCCGGGATCATATGCATCCTCGTGGCTCACGAACACTATACCGTCGATGTGATCATTGCTTACTATATCACCACACGGCTGTTTTGGTGGTACCATTCCATGGCCAACGAAAAGGTGAGCAGTGAAGACCCTTGGGTGAGGGATGTCCATTGTGTGAAGGGGACCCATCTCCACACACGGAGGTTTTAGACAGCTTCACGGGGAAGGACTGTGCTTGCCACCTGGCTACATACATGGTTTGGTCAGCTCGGCTACACTTACTGTCACTGCTGCTGGTTTTAAAAAGTGACAGCAAACCAACTTCACAAATGTACAGGCTATCTGAGCAGTAAGAACACCGTAAAATTGCTGGCAGCATGTTTAGTCAGTCCAGCTGATTTATACTAGAATTGAGGGGCTATATATACCTAGGAACCTTCCCTGTAGAGCATTATGGCGCAACTTGTTGAGAGGTTCCTTGCCTTGTTGAGTAACTTTGGGGTGGTCAGCGTGTCTGTCTTCCCTCCCTCCTGACCCAGCATGACCCCATTCTTCTCGAATTCCACTCTTTTTTTTTTCATATTTATTTTTTTTCATTTAATTTTATATAACCAAGTCCATTTAAATGAAAACAAGCATTTATAGACAATATTTGGGAATTTGGGCGTCGTTCTTTCCAAACTACTTCCTGCTGGTAAGGGGCGCTGTGTTGGGGGATTCGAAGAAGATTCAGATATCCTAGCTGTAGTCTGTAGGGCTGTTTTGTCCAGATGCTTTGAATGTAGGATCAGCTTGTACTCTGTTTCAGGTGGTCTGGCGTGATCAAACCACATTAGTCTGGAAGGAATCCACATCTTTTCATTTTCTGTGGAAACAAAAATAGAAATCCTTTTCCCCAGTAACTTGTCCTTCAACTTAAATTTTGAAGTCAAAGCATTTTTTTAAATTTATTATTTTACATGTCGATCCCAGTTCCCTCTCCCTCCCTCCCTCCCTCCCCCAGCCCTCCCTCCCTCCCTCCCTCCCCCAGCCCCTCTCTCCCTCCTTCCCTCCCTTTTACCCTCTCTGCCCTCTCACATGCACTCTAAACACCCTCCCCTCCCATCCCCCTCTTACCTCCATCCTGGGAAGCGTCCCATTTCTCTTGTTGGCTCCATTTGGGCCCAAGGTTGCCTCACGACCACCCCCACCCACCACCCGCCCAGGCTTTTCTAACCTTGGTAATGCTCTTGCTGTAATTGGTTGGTCTGCGCACCACGACTGACTTATTTTGGAATAGATTACCCAATGTTAGTGGTGGTAGTGTGCTATGCTGTGTGTGTATGGTGAGCATGTGTATAAAATCCAGAAGCAATTGACTTGCTGCAAGATCTCCTCAGAGCTCTTGAATCTACTCAGAGTTCTTGTATCCACCAGTGCTTGCTCTCTATGGATCCTTTTTTTGGCTGTGGTGCTTGATCGCCAATTCTGTAGTCCTCTGCTTTCATTTGTCTTCTCCCACGTCGATCTAGATGCTTCCAGACACCTAAACCGAAATCTCCATCTTTTCTTCTTGAATATGTTCAGCCTTCCTAGTTTCCCGTTCACCTCTTCTTGACCCTCATATCTGACCACAACACATCCTGGAAATACTTCTCTTGCATGCCCTCCACATCTATTCCTGAGCTCTCTCCTGCGATAACTGCAGACAGAGGTCTCATGAGCCAGGAGGAGGGCAGGACATGGGGACCAAGGTCAAAGTGATCTGGGGAAAAGCCAGGACAGCAGTCAGCGCCATGGGATTTCACTTTTCCTTGCCTGTTAAGCCACAAAATAAATAAATGAATGAATAAATAAATAAACAAATGCCATTTAATTGAGAAGTCTAGCCTGCAAGTCATAAATAATGCCTCCTTTTTCTTTACCACCCTTCACAGAACTTGAAGGTGTCTTCCCAGACAAATTTCTTATCTCGGGCTTGGTGGTTCCCCATCTTCTATTTTTTTGAGAAAAACGTACAAGGCTCAATTCCTTGCTGCTTCTCCTGGCCACTGTCCTGGCCCCCTGGCTGCTTTAAGTCATCATGCAAAAAGTATTCCCGGGTCCAGAAGATCGGGGAGGATAATGAGAAGTCTACGTGAGCTGCCAGCCTGGCAGCAGCCTTTCCACCAAAAGAATCCGCGCTGAAACCAAAGGCACAGCTTCATATTTATTCTCAGAGAAATGACTGGTAAATGAAGTGGACCAAATTTTGTGCAAAAGATCGGAGCAACGAATGAAGTATTACCTTTTTGGCTTTTTTCTTTTCTTTTCTTTTTAATTCAGCCCAAGAAACATATATTTTCCTGCAGCTCTTCATGCTAGGGTGACAGCGCCCCCAAACTGGGATTTTAAAGAGATGGCAGGAACACGCTATGCCTCTCCTCGTTCTTTCTCCATTTCCATGTTCTTTCCAGATGTTTTCCCCCTTCAAGGTCAGAAGAGTTTGCTAACGTTTTTGAATAAAATGTCTGGATATGCAGCCACTGTGAGTCCAGGAAGTGATGGTGGGAGCGGCTTTCCACCAAGTGGCTGGCTGAGGGCAAGCCACAGGTGGGTGAAGGTCAAATGCACTTTGTTTTTGCCCCGTCTGGGGGAAGGTTAGGGTGTTGTCTGGGGTCGGCTTTGCTGCTCCCCTGCTCCCCCCCCCCCCAATGCACTATGTATGACTTTTCCTCTTTTTAAAACCTCTACCTGATTCTTTTTAAAGAGGGAGTGTTCCAAGCAAACGTGAGGGTGACAGACACGACCATAGATTTTTTTTTTTTTCCCCTGTGTGTGGATTTTTTTTACTTTCAAGTTTCTGTGACAGATACACAGGAAGCATGGGGCTTTTCCTGCTACCCACATTGGATGCTCCCTGCCTGGAGCCCAGGGCTGTTCACTTGCATGGGCACAGGCTGAAAACACACATGTGAAGTGATGCTCACACTCACTGAGGAACACACGTGTGTTCCCCTTCTAGCTGTGATGAGAAATGTCTGGGCACATTGTCTTAAAACAGTTTCTTCATAGTTGATAGTGTGCACTGCAGGAAATGCAGGACATGCAGGAAATGCAAGCTGGATCCCAAAGGTTTACTGCTTTCATGCTCTTTAGCAAGGCGCTCCTCTCCCTACGAGCCCCTAAGGACACTTTCACCCTGTGAACACAACACACACGGTGCTGCACTTAGACATGCCATTGGCGTCCACACTTGAGATAAATACAGCTACATAGGAACAGGGAGCCGAGCATGGGGCCACACGCCCTTGGTCCCAGCACGGAGGAGGCAGAGGCAGGTCAGTCAGTGTGAGTTCAAGGCCAGCCCGGTCTATAAAGAGAGTTCCAGGACAGCCGAGGCTATTACACAGAGAAAGAAACCCTGTCTCCAAAAAACAGAAACAAAACAAGGAACAGGGAACAGCTGTGTCCGATATGAACAAATTAAAAACAAAAAATCTGGTGTAGAATATCAGGTGGAGCGTGTTACTCAGGTTAGTTGGCAGTAGAAAATGTTCTCCATTACGCATGTGTCAGCATGGGAGCAGAGGGGTGAGATGAACAGGGTGGAAGGAGGCTGTCACGTTGGCAATGATGAAGTGGGATGAGGAACATCCCCAGGACCGTCCTTCTAAGCCAGTCTGCCTTGATGTCTCAGAATTAAACTTCAAATGGCTTGGGGAAAAAGCACAATACAGGTCTGTTCAGAAGGGCCACTGTCCTCGGGTGCTAAAATTCTCTGCGTGTGTCTAGTTCTGTGATCCTGGGTAGGTAAAGGAAACGGCTCTGATTCAAAGACCAGAGAGTAAGGTTCTCAAGTCTGGCTGTCCCTACCAGAGTGGGAACTCTAAACATCTTTGGCAGACTTGGAAATGCAAGGGTTTTTCCAAGTATTTAGCCAATAATAAATATATACCCAGTTTACCTTCTTCTACACACAATTCTGTACAATTTTCACGTGCTCATTTCCTCCACTCTGACCCCTTTGCATTAGAACCAAGTGTTTGCTTGGAAACACTAATTTAACTTCTGTGTCTGATTATGAGAGAATCATTTGATGCTGAAGCCCCAGTTTTGGCCTGCAACGAGTCTCTCATTGAAACAAAACACCTGAGAGCCTTATCCAGCTGTGGCTAGGATTTCCCGTGTCTCTTCAGTCAAGGAAATGCTTAAGCATCATTACGTTGCATACTGTTGTGTATATTTACTGCAGCCTTTTAGTCATTGCGGATGAGGAAACAGGTGGCTTGAAATATGAGAGGGAGATGCCCAAGTTTCAAGGTGTGAAAGATGACCAAAACTCATGTCAGCGTAGGAAAGCAAACTGGAAACTTAACATGCCATTTGGGATATAAAATGTAGACAGTGATGATGTTGCCTTTGAAACAGTTTTGAGATGGTCTCATTATCCATCTCACTTTGTAGCACAAATTGACTTCCAATTTTCCATCCTCCTGCCTCAACCTCCAGAGTGCTGGGATTGCAAGTCTGAGCTCCTATGACCACCACCACCCCCAGCCAAAGCAGTGAATTATTGCAGTACTGGTTCTCTGCCAGTTCAGATGCAGGCCTTAGCCATTCCCTATGTGTCCTGTAACTTCTGGGAAACGCCTGTGATATATAACACACATGTAGTTTGCCAAATGTTTTCCCTGAAGTTCCCCAATGGAAATGGAGTTCTCTCAAACCTGGGTTGCTGAGCTCTCCGCTAGATCAGAAAAAGGAAGCATCCTTCCCCTAGTTCCTCCTGAGCTAATTGTGACTGTCCTTTGAGTTACTGGCATCTCAGGAAGTAGGGTTAAGCACAGACAGCAGGCTGGCTGACAGTCAACTCAGGTTTGTGGCCATAGATTCTTTACTGTGTTACTACTGCCACCTTGTGGCACTCTGCCATGGCTGGAATGCAAATGCTACTTTAAAAACATTTTCAGATTTCTCCAGTTGATGTCAGTTGCTCTTCCTTTTTTTTTTTTTGCCAAAAATCCTAGAATTCTCATGGGAAAGAGGTATTTTATTTCATTTTGTTTTTTGAGACAGGGTTTCTCTGTTTTGCTTTGGAACTAGCTCTGTAGACCAGGCTGGCCTCAAACACACACAGATCTGCCTGCCTCTGCTTCCTGAGTGCTGGGACTAAAGGCATGTGCCATCAATGCCCAGCATAGAAAGAGGTATTTTAAAGATAGTCTAAGTCCTTCCCAAAGGAAAAGTGCTCATAATCCGATCAAAGAAAATTGCAGGTCATTTTTGCCTCATATCACAATCATTAGTGACTAGTCTATCACTACCAGGCTTTGTTTACTTCAAAACCCCAAATCAACTGTCTTTCACTTATGTGCTAGACGTCATTTCATTTTAAATTAAAAGTTCATGTCTTGCTCCATCAATAGCTTAAACTTTTTGTTATAGTTATAGTTTTGTATTATTAAAATGATTTAAAATTTAAGCTGGTCTTAACACACTCACCCCTGTAGTGTAAGGAAGTGTGAGAAGGAATCTTTTAATAAACGAGTTTACATGTCGTAATTAAGTATAAGTTATATGCATTGTGTTGGAGTTGTTTCTATGTTTGTGTGTAAAGATTTCTGATATTGTTTTTAATGCCAGTGTGTTGCAATAATTTAGTTAATAATTTAGTTGCAATAATTTCATTAATTGACTCATTTGACAAAATTCATTTTATGAAGAAGTGCTCTTGACTTCGATATCCATATATTGAAACTCCTGTCAAAGGTACCCAAAGATAAGTTTTTATACAGATAGATGCCTCATAAGCACTGGTTTATTACTTTGTTAATATTACTGTACTGTGTTCAATGGATCATGAACAGCAAAGGTGGGTCACTGCAGAATTATTTTAAAATATCCTTTAAAAGAAAGAGAAGAAACTGTAAGCTCATCTCGTTGCCAAGTTGGAATTCATTATTTAATTTACCTCCTATGCAATGATAATGCTGCAAAATGTATGGTTAATAAGCTACAGTGTGTTCAGACAAGAAATATCTTCACACGGTTTGAGAGGCAGCCACTTGCATTCTTTTGGAAATTTACTATACTGTTTCGATGTGTTAAGTGCCTTGTTGTAAAGTAAAAATTTAAGTCTAGAATTCATTATTTTCCTGACCTATATTTTTCATTATGATTATCTACTGTGTGCTGTTGTAATCATTTTATTAAATGCTTACATTTTAATCAAATATATGAATTTCAGTCTCTTCTATCCAATACTACCGCTTATATTTTTAAAAACATTACTATTGTGTGAGTGTGGGGGAGGGTGCGTGCGTGCGTACGTGCGTAGACCCCTTTGTGGAGTTACTTCGGCCTTCCACCTCTCTGCACAACAAGCACCTTTACCCACTTAACCCATCTCACAGAATCTTAAGCACTGTTCTGTCTCGTGGGATTTAAGCTCGAGTTCTATTTTCATTGTTTACTTTAAGAAAAGTCTTTCTTTGTTTGGAAATATATTTTATATGCTTATGAAAACATTCTGGGAAGGATGTAGGAATATGACTTGAGTTTATGTTTTAAGTGCCTGATAGTCGGTGAAAACTATTTTTTTGTTTCTGCTCAGAAGAGGATGTGTGTACTTGGTTGCTGTATTTGCCTAATAAATCACAGTGTTATCGACAGCCTCTCAAAATGCATAACAGCACCCTTTTCCATTCAAAAGACTTGCTCTTGAGTTTTTAGAGTAGGTATTAAAAGCACAAAGGGTTATTTTCCTCAAACGCTATTTTCAAAATGAGTTACTTAAAGGACCTGTAAGTAAACTAGATTTTATTATTTTTCCTAAACATACATTTAAAAAATGTTTTAACTTCATTTAATGTGCATTGATGTTTTGTCTGCATGTGTGTGTGAGGGTGGTGTCGGATCCCCTGTAACTGGAGTTACAGGGTTGGATGCTGGGAACTGAACCTGGGTCCTCTGGAAGAACAGCCCGTGCTCTTAACTGCTGAGCTGCTGAGACAGCTCTCTAGCCCTACCTACCCATCAAGTTAAGGTATAAAAAAATTAGTTATACATACACACCAAGATTCACAGAAACAAACTCTCTGGTCCCCAAAGACAAGGAGGGTCCTTTCTGTCCCCCAGTTCTGAAGGAAATGTCACAGCCATGGTCTCCAGGGTAACGACCACAACTAGACTGCCTAGCCATTTCCAAGGCGGGTTTTAGACTCTCTGATAAAATGAGAGCAATGTTGGTAAAAGCAATCCAATGGGGGCAAGGTGGGGCTAGGTAGGACAGGTAGGTTCGGGGATTGAGGTTGTTGGGTGTAGTGCAGGCTTTATCCCCGGGGCTGCCTGGGAGTGATGACAGAGCAAAGGTCCACAGAGGTGTTGTGCCACATCGGCCAGGATGGCTGGAAAGCTGGTTCTAGTGATGGCCACCCCGTTTGGAACACTGGCAAGATGCTGTGCCAGCCTCAGCTTATCTGAAATGTGTGACAGAAGCTGATGTGGACTTTTGTCCGTTGGGCTGGCTGAAGCAGGAGC